GGGGTCGAGAATTTCCATTATATATATATATATATATATATATATACTGTTTGATTGCGCAAAAGTTTGAATTCATTAATGGTGGTTTATCTTTTTTGTTCATAGAGCTATCAAGATAAATTGAATTTGGATAAAGAAAATTTTGACTTAAGACACTGAAAACTTACCAGATGCTCTAATTTCTTTTGTGGTGGCTGATGTTATATGATTAATAGTAGCTACACATTTTAATATTACTTTCCCATTATGCAAGACATCTGGTTTTAATCGGAACCGCAGGGCAAGGCTTGTACTCTCCAGTTGATCAGAATAGACAACCGTTTCTTGATCATCGAGTTTTGATGGAGCCTGGAAAATAATTGAAGTTTTGAAAACATGATTTACCAAAGTAATGCTGCCCGAAACAACTTTTTCTAAACTGAATGGCTAATGGACTCCACCGATTTTCCGCTTTCGCTCACCAACCCTTGGAATTGCTTTCTCAGTGCGCAAAATAAAATAAGATATCCTGAATAGCGTTTATTCGAATGATCGGATTTTATAGAACTAAGCGCCAAACATAATGGCTCGAAGGGTTGACCTTAAGCATGCAAATTATTAGTTAGAATATAGAATCAGACAAAAAGAGTGCTTTCTCTGAATAAAACTCTGAACTTTCTTACTGATACCTGTTTTTCGAGGGATTTGGATTTTTGATTATCAAAATTTGGGGTAGTCGCTATTTAGAAAATATGGACCAGATAGTTTGGTCAGGAGAGAAGGAAGTCGAAAAAAAAATCATTAATCGAAAATTTAGGTCCCTGAATGTTAATTTCACTTTTCGCTTATTTCACTATATTTCGAGAATTTAAGCAAATCGAAAAATTTTTGCACACAATTTTAAATTAAGTTTGTCCAAAGATAATTCACGATTCCTGGCAAAATATTATTTAAAAGTTTTTTTTTTAATATTTAATTTATTAAGAGTTGAAACCAATTTCAATAGTAAGATACATCATTTTTAACAATCTAATTTAAGTGACAAAATACAAAGTTTGATCAAATTAATAGTCAATAGTTCTTGAGAAATATAATTGTAAGCATATGGCTTTTTAAAACTTGTCATATAAATTTATATAGTTTAAAGTGGTATAAAAGTTTGCGTTTACTTTACAATTCAATATGTTTTGACCCTTATTAAAAAATAATAATTTAAAAAAAAAGCATTGAAAATCTTTTTACTTGGAACTATTTTTATATAAATGAATTTTATAAGTCTGTTGAAAGAAGCAAAGGTTCTGGGCGAGAAGCGTCTTTTTAAACCTAAGAGCTCTAATTGCGTTCTTTTTCGCCTAGAGCAGACATATCTCGCTAAAAGTGGCTGCTGAATAAGGCTGGAGAAGAGATAGACTCTATATAGTTTCGATTTAAGCCTATAGAGCCTTTTTATTATTCTGGTTGTAAATTAAATGGATGGACTTTTTTTAATTGTCTACTTTGACATCAGAGTTAACAAATTGAATTAAAATAGTGAAAGGAAGCAAAATCATGATTTAATTTCTTTTACTTTTTTTTAATTTTTTTTTTTTTACCGATAATCAATTTCTGTTTTAAATTTGTTTTAGCGTTTGGTATAATACAATCTAATGTAAAACTCTGACCTTAGTTTATCAAAAACGCACGGGTTAAAATAATACTGAGTTTAAAAACGTTTAATATACATTTAAATGATGCGATCTATGTGAGTTAATACTTGATACCCATTTCAGTCAGATAAAAGTTAAAACATTTTTCCAATATATAATATTTAAAAAAAGTAATTTTTAAAATTTTTACTTTAGTTTTATGTTTTCCTATTTAAGTTTCGATAAATAAAGTAGTGATAATATAGCCATTAATTTTATTCGCATTATTTAAAAAACAATATTAAATTCCGGCACTAGTTGGAATTTTGAGCACGATACCTTGTTGGAAATAGATAGAAATTTCGATTTGCATTAAGTTCTCCTTAGACGTTGAAATTGCTAAAATAAATCTGTTAAGAGCTGTTCGGAAAACGACGGATACTTGTATCCTCATCCAACACAGAACTCCAATTAAAATTTAAATACACAAGCTAGTCAAAAGGTGTGGTCAAAACATTTAATCACGACAAATTTCAAATTAAATAATAGAGACAAATGCTGTTTGTGTTGGTCAGAAAAAGATTAAAACTTATATTGTTCTCAGACGCAAAGCTGCAGTTGAAATTAGAATACCCAAGTTATTCGGAAAGTGATTGGAAATTTTGACTAACAAAATTTTACATTTATTAATAAAAGTCTTCTTGTAGCTGTAATGATACCAATGAAATCTTCATTCAACAAAGGTAAAAACTGGGATATTATTATTTGACATAACTACTTATGCAAAACATCAAATAATTAATCATAATATCAAATTAAAAACATGTGTACATAAAAAATTATAAACTTGAGGTAATCACTTGAATTTGCATTCGAAAATAATTAGATTTCATACTTTATGTTCATTACAAAAAAATGAAGGCAAGAAACTAAAATAAATTCATTTGATATCTTATTATATTAAATTAAACAAAATATAACTTTTTTTTTCAAAACTTTTTTTTAGACATATTGCTCTGGGTACATCCTAACGAAGTTACAGCCTGTTTTTATGAGTTTTTTTTTAATGATTACTGCCCTACCTGAGTCCATACATTGAAAAAAATATTTATGTGCCTTTAAATACAAGGTTGTTGAATTGCTTTCGGGTATGTTTGTAAAATTAGTTGAAAAATTAATTAATATCTTACAGGATGTACGCGTTTTCAACCTTTTATTTATACACCTACAATGAAATGTGTCATGATAAGTTATTATACTTCTTAAATATAACTCGATAAGATGAAAAATTGAAAAATGAATGTGTAAGCATCGCTGATGAAATCTGTTTGTATTCTGACATATTTGTTCCAATTTTGAAATTTATTCTCTTTTCGAATTTCTGACCCACAACTAATTAACTCGACTAACGAACTGAAACATACTAATTTGCATTTTCTAATTAAAAGTAGCTTCTAACGCTATATTGCAAGTTACAGCGAAGAAAGATTTATCAAATAAATCTGACGCGATATAGCAGCATGTATGTCATAATTTAAAAGTGTCCTCATGCGTACGTGATGCGTGCATAAGATAGTTTTTCCCCCTTTTCTGATTAGTTGGAAACAAGGTTTGATTTTATGAAAAAAAGTTTAATATTGTATAAAAATAGGATTTTTCAAAATTTTGAAGTTTGTGTTGATTTTGTTAAATAGGCAACTGTCCCCATCTATTTTTAAAAAATCAGATTAAGGAAAAAGAGTAAATTTCTTGAAACGTCATTATTCTTCATTCTATTGTTCCCATCTCCCCATTTTGTAATCCTTTTATATATATATATATATATAAAACCTTTATTTTTAACATAATTAAGCTAAGAAGACAGGACAGTGACTTAAGGATCATCAAGATAACCCACAGGTCATTTATCAAAAAATTGAATCTACAAAGCAGCTTTGTTGAATTTATTCAAGAGATTTTTTTATTAGCTATCAAGTTATTNTATATATATATATATATATATATATATATATATATATAAAGGAAAATAGTTAGGTCAGTCAAATTTTAAAAACTGATTTACCTTATACTATATTAAATTTGAAAGGTTGCTTCTTTAGATTACAATTAGTGATTGATTGTGTTAAACGGATTGTAATGTAAAATCTGAGGAGACTGATCACATTTTCTGATTGTAAAAGCAATTCATCCTTACACATTTTTCCTGAAATCCTAGTTAATGATTGCAATAAAGATACCAATAAAGAAAAAGTATAAATAAATATAGAGAAAGTAGAAAGAAACGAAAATTAATGTAAGAAAGAAAGGAAAGAAAATTTTGGACATAAAATAAATAAATAAATAAATGAGAATAACAAGAATGTGTAAGCAAAGTGAATTTAAAGAAGAGAAAAAATAGACTAAAAATAAAGACTTAAATTGTAAAACTGAAAATAATCTTGAATTTTCTAAGATTCTTGAGACTGTGATAACGTGGGGCCGCATTGTCAAGATCCTGTTGACCGAATTATGCAAATTTAAGATAATGAAAAAATTCCCAACCTCAGGAATTTTAGAAAATTTTTCAGATATTTTTGCTAAAGATAAATATGATATAGAGACAATAAGTATTGATCCTCAAAAAGTAAGATTAACATCAGACTTACAAGTGTCATTTTTTTCGTTGAAATAAAAATTAAATACTGAAGTCTTAAACTTCAGAATAACGATCACAGTGTCAATTTTTTTCCTCCAAACAAATCATACAATACTGAAATAAAATTTCAGATTGAATTTTTTTGATAAAAATTTTCAATTTGTCTTTTTATGTCTCATATCACTTGTATTTTCATATTTTTCTTCCATGATTATGAATATTTGCATATTTAAAAAAAAATTATAAATTTTATCATCCTGATTGAAAAGTTTACTTAAATTGTGTTAGTGTGAGGAATAATTACTTCATGGTGAATAACCTTATTGTGATTTTCGAACAAATGACTTTGATAAACTGATAAAACTGAAGTCACACAAACTCTTAAATTTGTTGGTAGCGCTACTAGAAATTTTTTTTCCTATAACACTTTAATTATGTTATTATTTTTAACATGCGTACAAATGTGTGTTTTTTATAATTCATATTACTTTATATCTTGTTAAAAATTTGATTCTTTACATTTAAATTGTACTTCTATCACAGGGAAAAAAGTTTTGCAAATGGATAATTTCTAAAAAAAAAAAAAAAAAAAAAAAAACTAGATAATTGTTAAAAAAAAACTTCGGGGAGGGAGGATGTAACGTGGAAGTTTCAATTAATCTTTTTATGTTATTCCTTTTCTGAATATCCTTTTCTTAATTTATTATTCAAAACGAAATGCTTTCTTACACTTTTAAATTCACATCCTGTCTTTTAATTTATTTTTAGCTCAAGCATGCATCAATTAAAAGCAAGACATTTTCCCCTTTGCTCTTTGTAGGAATCGAGCGACCTATTTAATAAACCAATTACAATTACTAAGATTTCCCTTATTCCCTAAAATGAAACATTTTACAGATTAACTTTGCAAGATTATCCCTAACATATAATGAGGAGCATAACATTTCGTGACCACTCTTTGATAAACTTTCTCTGGCTAATAATAAATAAATAAATTTTGCACCCTCCTTCCCTGCCTAAGACCTGTTTTAATCCTGTTGACATTTGTTATCAAGATTTTATTTTTAATCAATAATGTATTCATATATATATATACACACTGGCTGTTG